GGATATCAAATGGGAGGATCTTTTTCAAACGGTCCCAAGAAGGAACCTCAGAAGACATGATTGTCAGTTGAAGAAGGGACTGAGCCGTACAAACCAACATTTATCCTTTTTCCCTCAAGGAGTCGTTCGACGGTGGAACCCTTTGCTAGCGTCTCCTGTGTATTCCACCACTGTGAGCGTGTTCAAGAGACGTCTGGATGATCACCTCTAAAGGCCACTCCAAACATTTAACCCCCTTCCTAACAGGAACATATACTACTTAATTGATGTCGATAGATCTTATATTTACATTAAAGTTGGCTCCGGTGAACATTTCATGGTGGAAATGCAGTGAACGTGTTCTACACTGCTAGTTCACAAACGCCTCACCTTTTTAACCATTCATTTTTTTAAATGGAGTTTCAATTGAGTTTTTAAGGGCTTCTGTCATTTACTCCGAATATGCTGACTGGTAATGGCTGATATTTCCTTGGAGCGCAATGTATAACAGGCAGATCCACTTAAAACTGCTGAAGAAACAATTCAAGAGGCAAAAGAGGAACAACAAGGGGCCAGACAGCATACCTGGCTTGAGGGTCCTGGACAGGCTCTCGGGCCGACTGTTGTGCACCTCGAAAAAGTGCGAATCTGTCCAGGAGCCATTGCCAGCCAAGGAAACTGCCATAATTTTCCATTCATAAAAGCCGGGTCGCAGGAAGGGAAGGTCGGTGAAGACAACTTTTGGTGGAGCAGCGGTCTGGCAGAGCAGATCTGAGGACAGATAAGGTGGATCCAGGGACGAGCGAGCGGGCGCTGGTAATGAGGTTGAATAGCCAAGGTCAGAGTCATCGGAGGACATATGGGGGACAGTGGCATTGGCCGGCGCAACTGCCTTCTGTGGTTGCTTGTAGTACTGAGGTGGCACGCAGATTGTGAACCAGGGCACCTAGGGGTGAGGGAGGGGGGGAATACAGGCTTCATCAACGTGTAGCTTGAATTCAAGACTAAAATAAAGATCTAAGCATAATCCCCGGGCTCAGTGACTGCCAACAATGTTGGTGACCGAATGGCGCCAGTATTACCTATGTCCGAGTACCTGTCTACGCTCCTCCAGTTGACTGCATGTCCTGGTTGCGTGATATCGGATTCCGTTCAGGTAACATAAAACTATATCAAAAAAAAA